CCTCCAATACATCAGAGGTGGGATCAGGTGCCATGGAGGAGTGAGTATCCCCTGCCGACCGGTCACACACGCTGTGTGCTCCTTGTCATGATCGGGAAATAACAGAAAAATCCGTCGACATTCCAGTGTGTAAATAATGGCCTAACAATTAGTATGAAAAATGTCAGTCAGCATTTGACTCAATGATAAATTGTATTTGCTGACAAGGTCATTGTATCGACCTTAGAACTTACGAAATGATGACTTTAAACGAGACTGCTGAAATTTTTGTTTAGTCAACTTGTTTGTAAATAATTTACCTCTATTTAGAACATGTACATACGTAGAGCATGCTCTTGCGTATTGAATCAACTGAGAGACATAAACCCCGTATGCAGGTGATGAAGGTGTATTGCTGCATAAGTAAGGGAAGTTGACGATTGAAAAGTTAAAGTCATCACGTTTATCATAAAGCTTGGTTGTTAGATTACCATTAACGTCTTTTTCAAGTAAAATATCCAGTAATGAAACACATGTGTCAGACTCTGTGGTATCTTTTATCTCAAGCTCACCGGGATATATCGTATCGACATAAGAATGGAAATAACCATTGTTAATTGACAATACGTCGTCGATATATCTAAATGTCGAGTTGAAGGCCACAGCAAGTGTTTTCTTCTTTTCACGTATAAGATTTTGGACAAATTATACTTCATATGAATAGAAAAAAGGTCTGGTAATAACGGGGCGCAATTGGTACCCATGGGAATTCCAATAAATATATGAATAATGAATATGAATAAATCAGAATAATTGTAAAATAAGTAAAATATGTATTATGTAAAGTAATTGAAATGTAATTGAAAAGTAAGTGGTTTACAGGGTATTTTTTTTCCAATATAATTAATTATATTCAATTACGAGTAATTAAAAAAAAATTGTCTATTACAAATCACTTCCAATTACTTTGAAAAACTTAATTAACTACACTCAATTACAATTACCTTTTTTAATTACCCCCTCCCTGGTTTTACCTATTATTGCAAAAATTAGTAATTAACGATCGATTGTGCAATATATATATATATATATATATATATATATATATATATATATATATATATATATATATATATATATATATATATATATATATATATATATATATATATATATATATATATATATACACACACACACACTGGGACTCCTTGTTTTTACTTTGAAATTATATCTCTCTCCACTTTTTAATTTTCTCAGCGGACGTCCTCTCCTAGATATTGATGCTGTTTATTCTAATTTATGAAAAAAAGTCTATAGGTAAACAATGAATTGAAATCATTTAAGTCCGATCTGGAAGCATTTTTCAAATAGCAAGAAAATATTGTTGATGAACCTAACAAAATACTTGGAAGATTGTAAAGTTTTATGGACAATACATAAACTGGAAACACACACTGTGGTAAAAATAGTTACTTAATTTATGGTATTATCGATTTTAAAGTGCTTGAGGTTTTTTAGCTTTTTGTCTAAATCACTTTCATTTCTTCGAAATCATTAGAATTTTACAATTGTTCACTGCGTTGTCTAAATCTTACTTTAACCATTTAAATTTTACGCCTTTCTCCATTTTTTTTTTTTGCAAAAAAGAAAAGAAACAACCTTTAGAATGAAAAGTTTCCAAATGTGGTATCCAGAATTTAAGGTTTGATTGAAATGTGATCATGTTACATGTATCTCTATCGCTACCGGTTACCTGAATAGATTAACTAACTAGAATATAAAATTATCAATTTTCCGCATAACATAAACCTGCAATAATAATGCAGTAATCCTTCACCTTTGACAAGTAGTGGGCACTTTCTCTATGGTTTCTATAGTATGTATACCCACAAAAAAAATCCGGGGGGGGGGGGGTTAATGGAAGTGAAAGTAGGCCGTCCTTTTTGTTAAGCAATAACAGATTCCACATGATTTATTGGAATACATTTTGGTTTGAAGACAATCTCCTTCTGAAGCTATCTTTACTCTTGGTATCTCCCTAAATCTTCGGCGGTTATCTACCCTTTATGTGTTGATTTGATGCTTCCAATTTCTTAAATGGAGGAAATACAAGGACGCGGATTTTACAATTTTACAACATAAACACAGAAAAGGTAACGCATATTACAATAAGAGAAACTTATTAAGTAGTCAACAAAGTCTCGATCGTTTCAAAATATTGTAAATTGATACATGTATCAAATGCAATTTTGAGTGATTATATTAGTTAGAACATATGTGAAATCACAGCGACGTCAAGGACATTAAAAAAAAATTCGAACATTCACTTTCTCAACGTATATACCTTTGTGTTTAAAACAAATAAGTCCAACTTTGAAACTATATAACCAGTTTTAATTTTATCTTGTTTTTAAATTTCTAAGCTGTGGATATTTTTTAAAAGATTGTGTGATGTCGATTGCCCTCATACACACGTTTAACAATAAAGCTTTGGTCAATCATCGACTTCCGTACGTATACACTCCTTGCTTGCCTTTTTACTGAAGTCCTAATACATGAAAGTATCCTGTGATGTTTGTAGACAGAAGTCTGGTATTCCACTGGTTTGGTGAATGTTTCATAAAACAAATATAAGGTCTCTGTTAGCATTTCCAGAGCACTAACACAATTTGTAAAAAGGACACTACTCCGTCAAATCACTACGACATATTTGCAAATGTTTTCATAGGAAACAAATCCGTGTTTTTCTTCTTTCTCACTGTTTGGTTTGAAAAAAAAAACATGATGGGTTGTATTTAGCATTGATATTGCATGTTGCAGTATGCTTGTTCTGATGAGTTTTCAATGTATGCGACGTCATATCAAATCTCGTAACGCAAGAGTATTCTTTAAGATAGACTTTTAGTATTCACGTAGCAAGTATTTGACGAAAGCGTCAACAGAACAGTTGCAAAGTTAACAAATTATGTTAAAACTTTTCAGTTGCAAAGGGCCCACTTAAGGCTTCATCTATCTGAAATCTTAATATGACGTCTTAAGTCAAAATGGAAGTTTTCATTGGTAAAAAAATAACTTGACATGGAAACATGTGTATGCACAGACAGCCTGACTTATGTTCTACAGAAAGAAAAATAATTGTTTGTTATTATTCGTCTCATGCGATGAGTTTTTACACTTATACATGGATAGGGACGTCCACAGTTGCCGGTGAAGGACTTCAAATCTAGACCTATACTCGGGGATAACGGCCATTGGACAGTGAGGGTTCTTTATCGTGCCAACGCCAAACGTAACACTGGACTTCCTCTTTTAGGTTCGTATACAAAATACCCTTACATTTTGCTACTAATGTCAGGCGCCTGGCGAAGGAAACAAAAAATCAAAAAAATATCCTTTCTTTTATATTTGTTTAAGATGATGGTCAACAATCAGTCTTTCGATTTTGTTTTTCGGGATTCACTAACTGTATGAACTTTTTTTTTTAAATTGATTTAAAGCTTACTGAAAATTAAGAAAACGCAGTGTAGTTAAGGTGCGCAATAGAAATATCGGCAATTTTTGTGATTGAAAATATATTCTTAATCATGATGATGATTCTTTTCAGTACTTTATTGATATCCGGCAAATGTAATTATGGTTAATAACTACATATTGAGAACGATACGATTTTATATTTAGACTTGTCACGTGATGCGGCAGTCACGTGATATAGCACATATACTTGCAGTATTGAGGTCACCTATAATTTCACATGTGCAAGGGCATAATCAAGTTAAAATTCTAAATTTAGAGTGTAAATATTTTCAACACGCATGTGACGGTACATATTGTCGTTTTGTACATATTGTCGTCGGCGACAGCCTTTATCCCCCAATTGTTTTGAAGAAAAATATTTATAATATCAAACGCGTTACCCTGAACCAGTCAGAACAAAATTGGCCAATGACATTTTTTTTCCATACGAATCACCTGACAGCATATTGGCATATAACTTAACAGCCATAGATATTTACTTGTACTGATATGTTTTTATTCTAGAAACAGCGAAGCATCGAATGAAACTGCAAAAAATGCCAACAATAGAATAAAGGTTAGAATAAAGGTTAAATAAATGTAAATTTGACATGAAAATTTCACATAAAATTATAATTTACAAGTATATAGTTAAGGAAAAAACTATTTTTATTTATAACTATGCTAATCCTTCTAAATCAGCGTGTCAAGGTAAGTTTATAACACAACAACTAGGGTTATATATATTTATTAAGTCACAGTTGTAAATAGACGTCATGTAAATGAACAGTTATACAAATTGTCAGCACAGCTTCTAAGAGTCCTTAGTACAAATCACTAGTACTGTTTACTACTTCAGTCCACTAGAAGCCTTACTCAGCTGTTACTAGTACAGGGGAGGCATAAAGTTCTATAGTCCGTATAGTGGTTAGTTTCTGTGTGTTTTTCTCATGTCTATCTCTCCTCCGCCTGCCCAGTCTCAGAATAAATATTAATACTTCTAATCGTCAGATCATTCATTAACATGATATTATTATTGGAATTTAATTTCTGAATTATTCTGTAAATTTATGAGATTGCCTAGTTCAATTTACTTTCAGAATTAGTCACTGCTAAAGTGTTCAATTACAATATTGAGTATGGTATTGATATTATCAAGTCATTTCCAAATACATTTAATTTTTAGAAACCAATAATGGGTTACTGACCACATAAATATTAAGATACAAGCAGATTCCTAACGGTCTTTTGTTCAATTATGATATACCGTATAACTGGATTTTTCTACGGGGTGCTATTTTTTGCGAAATTCTGCGATCAAGTCTTAATCGCAAAAAAATCAATCGCAAAAAATACGTCATAAAATGTCCCCATAAAAATACCCCTTGTGAGGCCTCTTCATAGAGTCCGAATTCACGCTTCGTTGCGTATACAGGTATCGATAATTGGTCAGTGAATACCCCGTAGTTAGCAGTCACTTCACGCTTTGCCAGCAAAATGGCAAAATGGCAAAAATCAACAAAATTAAAGACGAGTTTTTACAAAGAATAAACAGTGTGGTGAAAAAACATGACATTCCTCCCGAGTTAATATACAACTGGGACCATACCGGTATCAATTATGTACCTGTCAGCTCATGGACAATGGAGGTGGAGGGCACCCAGCGAGTCCCCATAATTGGTCTTGATGACAAAAGACAAGTCACCGTTGTTTTCGCAGGTAATGTAGATAATTATCAATTTTATTATTTTGCTTGTAGTATCAATTAAGGAAAAAACAGAACAAAATTAACTGTACTGATATCTTCTAATTAATTTTTTAATCATTTTAGGCACATTGAGTGGGGATTTTCTAGCTCCACAAGTCATATACCAGGGGAAAACTTCTGCTTGTCATCCTGAGTATGATTTTCCACTGGCTTGGAACATAACTCACAGTCCTAATCATTGGGCCAATACAGACACACAGATGGAATACACATCGCGAGTTCTAGTACCTCACATGGATAAAACCAAGAAAAAGCTTGGGCTACCTAACACTCAAAAGTCACTGTGTATTTTCGATGTTTTCCGAGCGCAGATGTCGAGAGAGTTCGTGGATGATTTGAAAAAAACAAAGAATATTGAAATTGTGTATATACCACCAAGCACGACGGACAAGTTACAGCCCATGGATCTTGAATGTCCGACTGACATGTCCCATAGTATTTCACATTGATATTAACATCAATATTGAACTACAACAAACACACAATTAGTATATAGAAAAAGAATGCATAAGGACCTAAATGGCTCTCAAGGACATATAAGGATTGTGATACCTTGTACACATATGTCCTTATTAATCAAATACACGACACACAACATATATTAAAAGTTAATATATAGTTTGTTTATATATAAGGTAAGTTCCTATTGTGTTCCTATTGTGTTACAAGTTTTTTCAACAACTGAGCATGCATGTTATTCATATGATTAATAGATAGTTAGTCCGTAAAGTACAATGTCATATTAATGAATAATAAAAAAAAAGTAGAATGACAAATAAAGTGATATATTTATATGAAATGTATTGTGTATTCTAAGTCTTAACATTAACATTGTTATATCAAATAATAATGTAAATACAAGAAATCAGAGTATAGTTTCAATGATTCTCAACACACCTGAGAGTTATTTTTACGCAGCACTATTAAGGCGTACTATGAAGAAATCTACGGAATATAGACGTGCAAAAATAGAGACTTTTAAAGCTGATTTTTTTTGGGTAAAACTGTTACATGTATATTATCATTTGCCTTGAATACTTATTCAAATAACATAGTAAACCTCAGTATGCATTGAATTAACCTTGACCAGTTGATTCGACAGTCACGTTATAAATGCATATAATGTGTACCGCATAGAAGTCATAAATAAATTTCATTATCGCAAGGGCATACCGAAGTTCAAATTAAAAAAAAAATTAAGTGATATATTATCTCTCCTTATCTACTTATGTCTGAAAAGTGTTGCTACTTTAAAACGAATTCGTATCTTATTAGTTTAAATTTCAAGTAATTGGATCCATTCTGAAATATGTTTAACAGTTATAAAGTATTTTAGGTATTTTTTAAGTCATGTTCTCGATTGTCACGAAAACAGCAGCACTTTTCAAGTTAAGGAATATTGCCTTTAAGTATATTTCATAAATTGTTCTATCAAGTACGGAAGCGTAAAGGTCTCTACACTTGTTGTGTTATATTTCTGTACATTGTCTTGCTTTTTATTGTCTTATCTATATATAATCTGTTATGACTTCTTATTTTCATTCATATGTTGTTTTGTATCTGGGTATTTTCACATAATTTTAAGCGTCTTCTCTGTGTGATGGATTTTATTGCTTAAAGTTATATCAACTTAAAAAAATATCGATGTGAAAAATATTGTTTTATGCATGAAAATTAAAGATATCGATGTAGTTAGCTCGACACACAAAATAAAAATATATGCATAAGAGTTAAATTGATATAAATATGCTAGTATTTCTAGGGGGAAAGTTTGAAAATATTGTTCTCCAACTAACTTCGCGGGAGCGGGAATTTTGATGAAACGTCACATCTCTCAGATTTATTGACGGCACATGCACAATGTCACGGTGTCATGTGTAATGTGTTAAATATTTGTTGTATGGTTATAGAGAAAAACAAATTAAAGAAGAAGGGGGTGAGAGGGAGGTGATCAGTAAGACTTTCCCCAATTGAAGCAAATATCAATTATAATCAAATCATTCTGATTAATAAGAAATGAAATCTACTAGTATATGCATGTCTAGTAATAATTTAATATATTTTCTTATTAATAAATAAAAATCGTCCAGCTCTCTTAGAAATAAAATTTAAATGCTAGCAAAGTATGCATAACAAATATGCTGTGACTAAAAAAAATAAGGACAGCTACCCTTTTCCATTGTTTTTATGTTCCATACATAAATACATTTAGTACTTGTCCTATTTGTGGATGAAGCGAAAGTAGAATGTAAAATATTATAAAAGTGACACTGGCTATGTACTCTGTAAATACTTAATGTTTTATCATTCTGTGGTAAACATAGGATGTGCCACATAGTTGTGAATCTCCAAAGTCAAGCCCCCCCCCCCCCCCCCCCCGAACTCAAAAAATTAAGCAGTGAATCAGGATAGAATATATATATATATATATATATATATATATATATATATATATATATATATATATATATATATATATATATATATATATATATATTTATATAAAGCACTAAAAATGACCAACGACACGAACAATAATAATTGTCAAATTTTCGGGACAACCTGTCCCTTCCTCAGGACAAAGAAAAAAGTTAAGAAGTCATAAAACCAAAGGAAATAGAGAAGCAAAAACAACTAGCACTACTACTAAACTACCAAACACTAAATATTTACAATGTTACATGTTTAATTTTGAGTTTATAAACAGTTGTGAACAAAGAAATCCGGAGCGCTATGAATTCCGTCCGGTCTATCGGGTGTAGTCTGGTGAAGTGTGATTTACATAATTGAACGAATTAATTATCGCTAATTAATTACGGCCATCAGTAAATCGTACATTGTCTTATTCTCTCAAAATAGCGTAACTCTGCATGATAAAAAGAAATTAAAGAAAGATAATATGGAAGGACAATTTAGAAATATGAATTTGGATATATTATAAATTTGGAAATAGGAAAAAAAGAAATAAACAAAAATGTGAGCTGTAAATATTTGGGTAGGTTGTTCCAGGATTACTAATACGAATTAACGGTAAAGTTTACACTAAATAGAGAGAATGAACTTGTTTGTTACAATCCGGGATTGGGTCTAGTTCACGTTCATCCTGGTGAAGTCATTAAGTTTGTTAATACCATTAGGGCGGAATGACTTCAGCCTGTGCATCCAGAACTTTTCCTTGCCTTTTCTCTGCGCGTCTGTCCATCTTGGATTATGGTCAATAACCACTACTGTCATGTCCTCCCATTTGTGACCTTCAAGGTTGAAATGTTCCCCAACGGGTTCATTGAGTTTTTTGGTCCTAATGGTAGAACGGTGATTATTGACTCTCCTGCGGAGATCTCCTGTTTCACCAACATACTGTTTGGAGCAAACTTTGCAACTGATGAGATAAATGCAGTTGTCTGTTTGACAGGACAAATTCCCTAGTATTTTGTAGCTGCGGCCTGTAACGGGGCTGTTAAAACTGTCTGTGTCAGAGCTGTACTTACAGAGAAGACATCTTCTGTCAGAGCAAGTTTTAAAGCCCCCGTTAGGTAATGGATTGTCCAGTCTGGTTCTTACTACCATGTCCTTCAGGTTCCTCGGGCGTCTGTATGCAGCCAATGGGGGCTCCTTAAAGACCTCTGCCATTCGTTTATTTGAGTGGAGAATTGGCAGATTCTTTTGAAGGATACCGCTGAGGTTCTTAAGGACGGGATGGTATGTGGTTACCAGAGGGACCCTGTCGCTATTGTCTTTTTCCTTGTAGCGTAATAGGTTTTGCCTGTCATGTCCCGCCATCTCATCAATAGCAGTTTGTACGGTGCGGGCATTGTAGCCTCTCTTGCATAAGTGGGACTTAAGGAGACCGCTTTGTTCTTGATATAAGGCAGGGGATGAACAGATGCGCCGAATTCTGGTGGCTAGACCCTTAGGCACCCCCTTAAATGTGTGTGGGGGATGACAGCTAGTTGGCATAAGATACAGATGGGAATCTGTGGGTTTCGTGTGGAGACTGAACTCGATTTCACCATCAGTCAGGGTAGATGTAGTATCTAGGAATATGTTTTTCGAATTAGATACGTCTACTGTAAATTTGATAGACTGATGAAAGGTGTTGGCAAACGAAAATAAAAAAATGAATGCCATAACCTGAAAGCTGGGAATTTTTCCTACATTTTTTATTCCGGACATTATAAGGTACGTGCATCCGTTACAGAGATATTTGTTGTTGAATATTGGAACTTTTACGAGTAAAAAAACACGTCATTCGACGTTTTACATGCACAATGGAATCGTTCATGAGCTCAGTGTAAAACAAACTGGTTCTTTTGATTTATGGAACAGATTTATTTTTTTAAAATGAATTATTTGTAAAGAAGAGTTAAGGTACGACACGTTTTGAGCCATAAACATGTAATAAAAGGAATTTTCCGTAGCTTTGGGAGACATATTTTATACATGTAGTAATAGTCTTTGGCCCAACACCCCGATTGCGTGCACCCATTGTATCAGAAATCCCTATCAAATTTTGTGTCAGTCCTACATGTGGTAGGAATAATTAATAAAATAATTAAATATTATCTTTTCCATTTTCCTAATCTTCAGATTTATTATTAAAAATGAAAAAAAAAAAATAAAAGCATATGAATCTTTTTTCGAGTACTTGGTGTACTTTGAAAGGAAAAGTGCATTTTTATTAAACCGACAGGATAGATAACGCAGCTAGCCTTTTTTATGATTAAAAGATGAAAAAAAAAACCTGCCACAATGAAAAAATATATCAAAAGCATCCATATTTATAATGGAAATTACTGGGAATACTATAAGGTCTTAAATTTTCTTGTCGATGAAGGATATATTTTTGTTACCTGCACAAACTGCATGGAAATGAAGCGATAATTTTTCTTTTCCTTTTTTCAAATATAAAATAAATGTATATGAACATGAAAATGAAATAATAAAAAATACATTTCGATATTAAAAAAAAATAAAAATAAATCAGGAAACTTTCGTTTGAATTATTTGCCTTTCTGTTACCATGGTTTTTATGTACACAGGGGGAAGGGGGAACATAGCATGGAAGTACATGTAAGTTCGGGTAGCGATTCAGATTCTGGCATTTCTACTGCGACTTTGAATAAAGAAAGAGAGAAAAATGCTGCGCCAGAGATGCCGACACTGAGTTGCAAGAAACTCGTTTGTCTGTGTAAACTATAATAGGATGGACAGGGCACCCCTCCAATAACCATTCCCTTAATATTGCAGGTTTAAATATATCATAGTATTATTTACAGAACTGTAAAACGTTCTTGGAAATTATGCTATCTATTATGAATATATTTATACATGTACCATGTCCAAGGAAAGACATTTGCATGCAAGTGCAAGTCTTATATGTCACCTTTGAACATGTATGAATACTAGTATATATGCGTTCGTTGTGAAAGCTTAAATACTGCGATAATCA